TATTTCTTTACCACAGTGGCTAATGGTCTATCTTTTTAAATTTTTTCTCCCAAGGAACTGACTTTCAGATGTATTATTATACTTATTATTTTCCTGGTTTCTAAATTCAGCTCTTATTCTTTCTTTTTTTTTTTCCTTTTTTTTAGGCTTGTTATTGTTTTCCTACATTTCCAGAATCAGATGATTAATTTAAAATTTATTTCTTTGGGGCCAGCAGGTGCTGTAATGGTGAAGGTACTAGACTCCCACATGGCCAAGCACAGTCCCAGTCCTGGACACAGTGGCTTGAAACTCACACTGGGCGCATGTGCATGCATGCCTAAAATCCCAAGAAGAGAATGAAGAAAAATGGGTTGTGGCATGTTATCCCGCTTGTGGGGGTGATTTCTCACTTTCTTTCTCTCTCTCTCTCTGTCTCTCCTATAGTAAATCTCTCTCTCTCTCTAAAAAATACATAAATAAATAAATACAATTTATTTCTTTACATGTTTTCTTTTCTTTTTTTTTTTTTTTTGAGGTAAAATTCACATAACAATAAATTAACTTTTTTTCCTTTTTAAGATTTTGCCATAGGGCACATGCACTTGCTGGGGAGACAGAAAGATATAGTGAGAGGGAAAGTGAGAAATCAGCCCTCGCTCCCCCTGAGGGGGAAGGCCATGCCACAGTCCTTTCTTCTTCATTCTCCTCTCAGGATTTTGAGCAGGCATGCACACACACCCAGCATGATTTTCAAGTCACCAGGCCTGGGACTTGAACAATGGTCAGCCAAGTGGAAGTCCACCATGCCACCTGCTAGCCCCATAAAATTAAATTTTTCAAATTTGCAGTTCAGTGGCATTTAACACATTCACAATGATGTATCTAGTACCAAAACATCTTAATTACTCAAAAGGAAACCCATATTCATTAAGCAGTTACTCCCTACTTCTTCTAGCCCCTGACAACACTGAGTTTCTTTCTGCCTCTATGGATGTACCCAGTCTGGACATTTCATATAAATGAAATCATATAATACATGATATTTTGCTTGTATCACATAGCATAATGTTTTCAAGTTTGATTGATGTTGTAGTATGTATTAGTACAGCATTCCTTTTTATGGCTGAAAAACATTCCACATTTTGTTTATCCATTTAGATACTAAGGAGTAAAATTTGTATATAGTATGGTAATTATATGATCAACTTGTTGAGAATCTGTCATACCCTTTTTCATACCACGTGTACTATCTTACATTATGACCAGCTGTAGCAGGGTTCCAGTTTCTCCATGTCCTTGCCAACACTTGTCATGTTCTTTTTGTTTTGTCTTGTTTTCTGTGAAGCAGAGGCATCCTATTAATTGTTGCTTAGTACCTCTCCCACTCCCTGCTCCTGCCCCTCCCCACCTCTGACAAGCACACACATCCTCTGGTTTATAAACAAACAAACAAATAAATAAAATACAGCATCTTTAATAATGTATTCTGGAAGATCATACCCTTAGCAGAGGTAAAAACATCTGGACTTGTGTTCTTGGACAAGAGGGGCTGCAGAAGTTCTTTCTCTGTAGGAGTAGGGCAAGGGAAAGCTAAATTGCCCTCTTCAGGGCTCCTTCACTGTCACTTTAATGTCATTTTGCATTGCAGGGTATTGGGACTGACTGCTGAGGTCTGCCTCCCTTAAAAAACTTCTCAGAAAGAATGTCATAGGAGAATGTATTTGTTAGCATTTTCTTAAATGCTATTTAAGTTTCGCTAAATTTTTTTTAATTGCCAGAAAGAGAGCATCTCCAATGGGGCATGGTCTTGCTACAATCCCTTTTCCTCCATTTCTCCCATCAGGATTTTTGGCACAGAAACATGCACACACAGGGTGTTTTGCCAGCCACAGGGGCTGGGATTAGAACTGCAATTGGCCATGTAGGACTCAGCTACCTATGCAGAGGGATTAACATCTGTGCTGCAGGGACAGCTCTAAAATGACCATTTTTACCCTGAAAGGCAAAAGTACTTATTTTCTTACTTTAAAAAAAAAAAAATGTGAGGGAGAGTGAAGTTCACATCTTTCCACCTATGCTCCCAGCTCAAACGTCTTCTAAGCGCTTCAATGGACATAAAAACCCAGCCCTCTAGGAGAGTTAGCTCTCTGTGTCAAAGATGCCGAAGTGTGTGGGAGTCCTTTTTCCCAGAACTGCAGCTCGGATAAATATTTACTGGCAGAGTGGCTTTGCTTGATTGCATTTAAGTCAGAATTTGTCTAGACTGAACCAGAGACCGAAGGAGGCCTACATAGGCAGAGGCGAATTCTTGGCCTTCACGGGGTACAGGTTGCTCCGTTTTGCTGTTGTGTAAGCATTCAGGAATGACAAATATTATAGGTGGCACCATCCATGCTGTATTAGAAGCCCTGCAACAACCATGATCTTGGCCACCCCCACTCCCAGGGGCTGCTCACTCTTTCTTAGATGGTAGCCTGTGGCCGATATTTCAGAAATAGCATTTGTATTTTTCCATATAAACCTTCAACTTTGTTTTCCCACTACGTATCAAGGCTTTCCATGTGGAGGGAAGAACAGGTGGAGGTTTCTATCCATTCTATGAAGTGCATATAGCACAAGCATACAAGTCTGCAAATTGTCCCAGATGGGGTCCCCTCTACCCCTATCGCTTACCCTCACCTGAAAGATATCCATGATCCTGACCTTTAATATCATGGATTGGTTTTGCCCAATAGGGGGAGTGTCAAGGTCATAAATGTGTGCCTGCAGTGACAGTCTCCAGTGCCAGAGTGATTCTGTAGGATCAGAGCACGAGACCTTGCATCCAGCTGGAAGGTGGCGTTCAGAGCATAGAAGGAGAACACTTAGGAGTCAGCCCACCTTTGGCTTTTATGAGCTACATGACATGGGCCAGTCACTTCCGTGAACCTAAGTGTCCCACTCTTTGTATGGGAACAATACTTCTGTTTTACATGATTCTAAGAGGTGGCATGGAAACCCCCTGATGCAGAACGACCCCCTGACGTTGTGCCCCTCTACCAAGCGGCCTGGGCAAGATTCCATTGGAAGAATAGTTGCATAATGACAGCCACCTTCTCTTGTCTCCCCGATGTTTCTAGAGCTTGTCTTCCATCCACACCACACCATTGTCCCCCTAAGTTGAATGCTAATACCTTATGGCCTTGTAATGACACACTCCCCAAGGCCTGGGCATGCCCTCCCCTCCTGAGGCAACCTGGATGCCTACCCAAGGAGCTGCCCTTCTCATCCAGCAGCACAGGCTTCCTACTCCCTTAGGACCAAGGATACAGAGCCCGCTGGTCCTCCACCACCTTCTGACAGAGAAGGGAACTGAGCCCACAGATGGGCGGGCCTGGCCCAGACTCACACCCCAAGGGTGCTGCTCCTTCTACCTCACAGGGCCAGCACTGGAAACTCATCTGTGTGGCAAAGTGGGATGCCATGGCCACCTGACAGCAAGAGACAACAGGAGCCTAAATGAACTCCAGCATAGATGTGTATCTAACTATGGGCGGAATACGATTGAGCAGGTAACACAGACATGCTTAAAATTCTTTAACGCATAAAGACATAGGATCAAGGCCTTCCATCTGCCTAGTTCTTGCCTCCCACAGGTAACTGCTGTTTGTAATTTCTTAGACATTCTTTCATTGGCTGCTCAATACCTATATAAGCAAAATCAGATATATATGCTTTTCTATGCTGCCTCCCCTTTATATATTTACGTAAGTGTTAACATACTCTCTTCTTTGCTTTCCCATCTTTAAAGAAAAAAATATTATTTTATTTCTTCCATGAGCAAGAGAGACAGAGAGAGAGGCACAGAAAGAGAAAGGATGCTGGGAACCAGCAGTTAGCATAATGGCTATGTCGCTGGACTCCCACGTAGTCCACTGCGGTTCACGTCCCGGACCCGGTGGCTTAAAACTCACGCAAGGCGTGTGTGCGTGCCCAAGATCCCGAGAGGAGAATGGAGGAGAAGGGATTGCGGCGTGACCATCCCCCCTGGGGGGTGATTTCTCGCTTTCTGTCCCTCTGTCTCTGTCTGGCGAGCGCGCGCGCCCTATAGCGAAAAAACCTCTCCAAAAAAAAAAAAAAAGAAGAAAGAAAGGATGCCTATAGGATCTTGAGGCCACAACCCACCTCCAGCCTCAGCCAGCCCCAAATCGTGAGGACGTATATGCCTGGTATACTCGGGAAGGTCTCCGAATGTGAATCCAGAACTTCTCCACCGAGGACAGCATTGTTCTCTCCTATTTCTGGGGAAAGTTTTCCCCCTAGACATTTTGTATTCCCTATCTTTTTGTTGTTGTTATTAATACATAATGATTGTGCATATTTGTAGGGTGCAATATGAATTTTAGTTCATAGGTACATTGCACAGTGATTAAACCAGAGTAATTAGTGCATCCATTATCTCAACCATTGACCAGACTCTTTTTCTATCACTTTCCAGTTAGATCTACTGCAGTTCCACTGTGGGCTGTGACGCTGGGGTATGGGAAGAGAAGAGCCATTCCTTACAGCCTGGCCAGGAGCTCCTTGTGCAATGACCCTCCCAGGAGCAGTCGGGCACCCTCAGGTGTGCACCTGGGCTGCTCCACTCATCTCTGGGTTTCCTTGTCCAGGACATTGTCCAAGAGGAAGCCAGTGACTCTTGCCCATGGAGTTTCCTGGATCTATAATGACGAGACTCAGCTACACCTGGCCATCTGCCCCACCTGCAACAGGTGCAGAACAGGGAAATTCAGGAACCATCCAGACTCTACGGTGGTGAGCCATCCCCAGCGTGAGCTTCCTGCCACTGCAGGCCTTGGTTGAACCTGGGAGGACTGGAGACTCCCAAGTACCAGCACGGTTTTTAAAATTCTTTTGATTTAGACCTTCTTAACAAGCCAAAGACCAAGAACGGTTTTTTAATATAAGCCAACAGAAGACAGACCAACCTAGATCCTCTGATTAATTGGATGAGAGCAAAGGCATCCACTTACCCTTTGCTAGGTTTCAGTGTGGTGCTGCCCTAAAGTTCTTGAGGCTTCATGCTTTTCCCTGCTCAGGAACGCAGTGCAGCAATGCATTACAGCCTAAGTGCAGTGGGACTGTGATCGTTTGCAAGAAGGAGGAGGAGGAGGAGGAGGAGTTCTCCTTTCATCATCGTCCCCTTTCATGGCAGCTGGCTTAAACGTGCCTCCCCAAGACTTAAGGAAAAGCTCACCTCATGGAATGTAAGTATTTTGCTGCAACACAAGGATGAGCCATTCTAGAATTACTGATGTATTTTACGCCATTAAACTAGAAGTGCAAAGTGGCACAGATGAAGTTTTCTCTCTTCTACGAATGTGTTTATCCATTAAGATACAATCTAACTTACTCTTACCTTTTCAAAACATAAAGTTGAAGTACAGTGCATTTTAATAAGTGAAATAATGTTTTCTGTAGAAAATGATTTTTTAAATTTAATCTTTCATAGTCTTAATTAGGTATATTTTGTTTGTGTTTGAACATATCACACCGTTCTATAAAAATTTCCAGAAAGTCCTATGAGTTTATACATATGTTCTGAGTTTAAGTAAGTTCTCTTTCCTCAATTAATGTTTATAGTATTCTTGTTGAGTTGATATGCTGTGTTTTCTAAGAAATCACTTTGGAGTTCTCTTTTTCTTCTTCCTTCATGTAAGGTCTCAAACTACTTAACTAACAGTGGTATAAAATTTGTGATTGTTGCGTTGCTTCCTATGAGTGATTCATCTCTTCATTGACCCTGGGCTTTCTTGCATGTGGTTTCTTAAATTATATTTCAATAGTTTCTCCCTTCATCTTTAAGGAAGAAGGTAATTAACTCATTCTAGCAACTAACAAAAATTAAACACACTGACCTTTCTGAGTCTCACACCAGCATAATGAATTAGCAGTAAATAATATCAAATAGGAAGCGTTGATGAAGCACCTTTGGTCCACTCAGCACACTGACATTTATCTAATGGCATGTCTGAATGTATCTGTGTTCACCGAGAGCAAGAGATAGGAGTTTGAACTGATAAAGCTCAACTGGGAAAAGTAAAATTTTGTACTACTTCTCTGGTTTTTGTCACTTCATGCTCTTCACTGGCTCCACAAGTAGAGAAAACAGTTTTGAATTAAACAGCAATTGAGATCTTTATCTTCTGGTCTTTCAAGGGCACACAATGTCTTTGCCCAAAGGCATTCACCAAGGAGACCAGAAAAGTATCAACTTATACTCTTTCCTTGTAAAATTAATTTCTTTTGAAAATAAGTACTTATGGTGCAAAGTGTACAGAAGAGCACACAGTGGAAAGTACTTCTCCTTCCCCCCCCCCCGCCCGCCCTTCCCCCGAGCCAGCCCTAAGGATTTCGTCCGCTCTCCCACAGAGCCAGCCATAAGTATCTCTCTTGTGTATCTCTTAGAGATATTCCATACATAAACTACAAACAGGTAACACTACCCACCCCATTTACGCACATGTGGTCTCATAGTATAGCACTGCTAGCTTGGTTTTTTTTTTTTCACCTATTAATATTTACTTCCTAACAAACACCCATTCCTTTATTTGACTCTGTAATATCCTATTGCATAGAAGTTCCGACACGCACTTAACCATCCCCCAGTTGGTGTTAATCAGGCTGTTCCCAAGAATTAGTCATCAGAGGCAAGGTTGCAGTGACTAACCATAAGCATGCATTATTTCAGATGTGTCCTAGAGCATCTGCGGTCTAAGGTAAGTCTAATTGTCATGTTGCTAGATCTTCTCAGTGTGCCTTCCATACTGGCTGTATGAATTTTCACATTGATCAGCAATTGTCCTAGACCTGTTTACCCCACAGACACATCCACATAGGGCATTCCGAAACATCGTGAGTTAGCAAACCCAGCAGGTAACAAAATGTTATCTATTGTAATTTTAATTTGCAATTTCTTATATGAATGATATTTAGGGTTTCTTTATATTGAAGCTCCATTATTTTTACTATGATTTATTTGTCCATATACTTTTGCATATTTTTCTTTTGAACTTTTTCTTACAGAACTGAAGGCTATTAAGAAAATTCGTGGGCCAGTCAGTGGCATGGTGGTAAAGGCAGCTGGACCCCAGATAGCCAACTGAAGATGATAAAGAGAAATATTTGCCTTTTTGTTCTAGTTCTTTAAATTGTTTCACATTTTTATGCTAAAATATTTGCTTTGTCTATATTGTTTTGGGGCATACGGTGAGAGATGTGGATTGATGCTATATTACATCAATAGTACTTATTGAATAACCCATCTTTTTCCTACTGCTTAGATGCTCTTTTATTATCTTTTCCTAACCCATCTCTGCTGGTTTTACTCTGTACCACTGGTGCTCATGGAGGCCACGGGTCTATGTATCTATTTCACACTGTCTTAGCTATTATAGTTGTACAGAGATATTTCTAAGGAAAGGAATACCTGACTCTGCAGAGCACCACTCACGTCCTTTGCCCAGCGAGCTTCCGCAGGCTGGAAGTATAAAGCAGTCATTCATTTTAAAAATAGACATAAGTTGATTTTTCTGGCTAGGTAGATTTAATTCCAGCTAGGTCAATTCACTCATTATTGTTTTGTTTTGTTTTGAGAGACTTTTTTCTATAGGGCTGTATACTAGCTGGAGAGACAGAGAGAGACAGAGGGACAGAAAGTGGGAAATCACCCCTCAGTGGGGATAGCCACACCACAGTCCCTTCTTCTCTACTCTCCTCCTGAGATTCTGGGTACACACACACACATGCCTGACATGAGTTTCAAGTCACTGGGTTCAGGACTCGAACCATAGTCAGCCATGTGGGAGTCCAGTATCTTAACCATTATGCTACCTGTTGGCCTGCATCACTTGTTTTTTTTTTTAAGATTTTTTTTTCTAGTTAGTCTTGGCAATAGATTTTTCGACATAAATAGCTTTTCTAATTCACAAAGACATCCTGCTGGTATTTTTATTACAATTATGTTAATTTAGTAAATTATTTTAGGACAATTGACGTGTTTATCATGTTGCATCTCCTAGTCAAGAACGTGGCATTTTGAACTCTTTGGACATTTTAAAATATACTGATACTTGAAGGAATCTCATAAAGTTCATGGAATTAAAGAATGAATCTATTTTAGAGCAAAGAAAAAAAAAGCTTTGAAATCCATAGAAATTTTTTGATTAAAAAAAAATCATACAGCCTTTTCTGTAAACTTTTTAAAGACCCTTCATATATATTGTTAGGGCCCTTCTCATTCCTGGAGAAAGCCTCTAGGCATTCCCATGTTTTCCCTGACATAAGATCCACTCCCTCCTTTCCTGGACCAGGCAGCCCTCTTCCCAGGATGCTGATCTCATCTGGACCTCTCTGTTTCTCAGTGATCAAGTGGACTGCCCAGGGAGACTCCAACCAGACCCAGGCCAGCACCTTCCTCAGTCACTCCATGGAGGGAAGGAATGATAACAACTCCACCAGGGCCTTGAAGCTGCCAGATGGCACAAGCGCCGCCTGGTACATCCTCACCATCATTGGTATCTACGGGGTGATTTTCCTCTTCCGGTTGGCCAGCAACATTCTCAGGAGGAATGATAAATCCTTGGAAGATATTTATTACTCGAATTTGACCTCTGAACTAAAAAAGAAAGGGACCCAGAGCAAGGTAGTCAAATGCTCCACAATGGCCCTTAGCAACAGAGCTGTCTTGCAGCCCAGCCAGCCCAGCCTAGAGCCAAAGTGTGAAAATGGTGGGCCCCAAGTTGGAACCCAGGAGGTCCCTTGAAAGTCGAGGCAAGTAAGACTTTACTGCAGAGGCCCCAGCCTTCTTATGGGAGAACAGTGTTGGGTTTACCTGGAACTTGGGAGAGGAATGGTGCCCATGAGTGGGCCATGGGGAACATCCTGGAGCTGTGGGTCCTTCTGGCTGATGGCATATGGCCAGAAGCTAGCAACCTCCTCCCTTCTCTTTCTACTGTTTTGAGAAGAGAAAGTAAAGCGGCAACTTTCAACCATATTTGCAAAGTTTGGGTCCCAGGGGAGTGTCTGGACTTCCAATGTTCTCAAAAGAATCAGGAGACTCTGGGGGGCATTTCAAGGTGGAAAAGACTGAAATTGAAGTAAAAAATCTGGATTGAAATTCAACGTCTTGGAATTATATAAACTTTGAGTGGCTAATTGTTCATGTGAAATATTAGGGGTTGGGATTAATGGTACTAAGGGGTCATTTCATTTTAAAGACTGACTCAAATATAGAACCAGAGTGTGTGTTTGTTTACTTGCTTGCTTGTTTTTAGAGAGATTTTTGCTACAGGGTGTGTGCATACTCACCAGAGAGACTGAAAGTGAGAAATCACCCCCCACAAGGGATGGCCATGCTGCAATCCCTTCTCCTCCATTCTCCTCTTGGGATCTTGGGCATGCATGCACATGCATCTGGCCTGAGTTTTAAGTCACAAGGTCTGGGTCTTGAACCACAGTCAACTATGTTGGGAGTCCAGTGACATAGCCATTACACCATCAGCTGGTCCCTATACCAAAGTCGTTACTATCAGAAGTTAAGAATTCCTTATTTTCGGGACCAGCAGTGTAATGGTTATGTCTCTGGACTCCTACATAGTCAACCACGGTTCAAGTCCTGCACCCAGTGGCTTAAACTCATACCAAGTGTGTGTACGAGTGTGCCCAAAATCCCAAGAAGAGAATGGAGGAGAAGGGATTGCAAAGTGGCTATTCCCCTAGGGTGTGATTTCTTGCTTTTGGTCTCTCCAACTTTCTGGCGAGTGCACATGCCCTATAAAAAAAGCCTCAAAAAAAAAAAAAAAAAGGAATTCTTTATTTTCATTCAAAGAATGGGGTGCATTAAAAAAAAAAGAAAAAGAAAAAAAAGCATTCGTTTTGGACTCTGAAGAACCAGGCTTTCGTCTAGTCTGAACTTCTATCAACCACTTTGGTGTCTTCATACATACTACCTTCTCTCTCTGGACCTTAGTTTCTGTACAGATAAAGTGAGAATAGTGATGCCAGGTGTGCCAACCTTACCAAGTAGACAAAATCTAATGAGATCATGTAGGTGAATATATTTTGAAAAGTAAAATAAGGGCCATCCAGGTGGCATAGTGATTAAGGCTCCCACATGGCCAACTCTGCAGTTCGAGTTCTAGATCTGGAAGTTTGAAAAACACACTAGGCCCTTGTGTGTGCATGCCCAAAAAACATCTCGAGAGGAGAATGGAAAAGGGACTGCAGCATTGCCATCTCCAGAGGTGTGATTTTTCACTTTCCTTCTCACTCTGTCTCTCTCCTCTCTCTTGCTCTCTCTTCTGTCTCAGGAAAGTACATGTCCCTATAGAAAAAAAAGAGAGAGAGAGAGAGAGAGAGAAAGAGACAAAAGCAAAATAAGTACGTAAACACACTGTGCCTTGTGATGGTGGTGGTGATAGCAATTGTGGTGGTGATAGGTGATACTAATGGTGTAGCTAATGGTGGTGGTGGTGGTGGTGGTAGTGGTAGTTCAGTGATGGTAAATGTTGTTGGTAATGATGCTACTGTGGAATAAATGATAAATCCACTGACGAACTCTAACATTGGGCATATTGCCTTATTTCACAGAAGACTCTATCTGCACGCCAGTTGATGGCCTATGCTGTGAATTGAGTCCATGACACCAGTTTACTAAGCCAGCATGTGACATAGTGGTTAAGGTATTATATTCCCACATGGCCAACCATGGTTCAAGTCCTGGACCCAGCGGCTTCAAACTCACACTGGTCACATGTGCGTGCCTACCCAAAATCCCAAGAGAATAGGAGAAGGGATTGTGGTGTGTCCATCCCCTCAGGGGGAGGGGAGGAGGGAGGGTGATTTCTCACTCTCTCTTTGTCTGTCTGGCGAATGCTTGTGCCCTATAGCAAAAATATGCCTAAAAAAAAAAAATCTGGTTTACCTGTAGATAGAACAGAAACTTTTATTTTGTTACATCAAACATCATGTGATTCGCTCCAATGTTTTATAAATATGTTACTAATATGCTTGTCTCTGACTAAAATTTAAATAAAATCTTGTCTAGATGGCTGATTAATTTAGGGAGACTGTGATTATCTGTATTTGTACAAGCAGCTTTCAGCTTGCAAAGAAAAAAATAATATTTTATATCAATTTCTATGACATTGATACAGTTCAGCTTTTGGGGATGTCCACTAGGGCTAGAGACTTCTTCTTCTTTTTTTTTTTTTTTTCTTATCTGCTGATAGTAGCCTGCAATCAGCCCTACGATCTCATAAAAGTCTGAATTAAACTTCCAAGATATTTTTTTGAGGGTAAAATATACTTCCAAGTATTTTCTTCTTTTCACATTTCCCACATCACCACCATCATTCTACAGATTAGAAACGAAATGTTTCTTTGCATATATAGTTAAGGCTAGGCTTTAGGCATATGTTTGAGATGGTTATAGAACAGGACAAAACAGAAGCCACGTAACAGACAAAATTTAATGCACAGTGAATAGGAAGGCAAGGTGCATTAAGGTGGCAGTGAATAACAGGACTCGAGTGAATGCGAGGACAGGAAGAGTCACTTGCTCCGACCCTCACTTGTTGGTTGCCTCTGCAGAATGGTTTTTCCTTTCCTTATTCCCAAATGCCTAATTTGCATTTGGGCATCCATATGACCCTAGGGAAGCTGAAACTGCCCGGTTCATGGTTTAGAATGAGATCCAGGTTAGCCCAGTCGGTGCATTTCCCCTCTTAGCTTCACTGATTAGATCCAGGGTAGACACAGGACCTCAGCAAGCTGACCCGCTCAGGCTGACCAAGACTTAACATGGGTAGTTCTGGAACACAAAAGCTCCCTTTTGCTCTGGTGTTAAAAGCAGATGTGAGCTTGGAATTGCTGCATCCATTTGCAACCACGAAGAAAGTCAACTGGGAGGCAAAAATCTTCACAGTTTAGGACTAAGAAAGTTTCAGACTGGCGCCCCAATCAACTGTGCCCAGAGCTTTGACATACCACTGGAATTTTTCGGTTTGTGAAGCAATGAATTCCCTTTATGAACTCTGTCAAAGTGAGGCCTTTGGTTCCTCACAACCAAAAATACCACTGGAAAGTAATTTCCTGAGGGAAGTGGGCTTTGGATTGGAATTTGAGAAGAGAAGATATGCGATGTGGTATGTAGGAGACTGGGATAATTTCTTTTACCAAGACGTTTATATTTATAGATTACATTTAGTGTGCCTATTTCAGGCCAATGTTCATTTATAAGATTTCTTGTTGCTTGACTTCTCGAAGAGCGTTCAGTGAGATTCTCTCCCATTTAACCCTTAACCCCTGACTCTGTCAAGAAACTGCATGGAAACCCCCAGGGAGGGCATGTAGTGTCAGACATGTAGTTAGAGACTGGCTTCAAAATTTTCCTAAGGAGAAAAAGTCACTGGTACTCAGGTGCAGTTACACAAGGGCATTTCCCAGCCACCTGACTGATGCTTGGTCCACATTCACTCACCTTCTGGGGAATTGGCCTGAGAGTCTCCCTTGAAGATGCGTTCTTCTATGGGAACTAGATTTGTGTAGGCTCCATTGTATGTGATACTAGTGCATTTCATGCAATATTGGCAATACCTCAAATGGATGTTTTATGCAAAATCCCTTAAATCAAAAATGCTTCCTGTCTTGACAAACTCTATGTACTTGCAGGAGAATATCTCTGTGTTGGTTGGGTAGGACTGCCATAACAAGATACCACAGACCGGGTAGCTAAGACAACAGGAGCTTATTTCTCACAATGCTTTCCAGAGGCAGGAATTCAGAGATAAAGATTTAACCAAGCTTTTGTAGAATGTGGTTAGGAATACAGAAAAAGAGGAGGTGGGTCCCTGAAGATGGTGCCTGAAAACTAGATCCATCTATTAGAACCCTTATCACTGGGATACGCTGGGATACTGCTATGCAGTGTGTTTCCTCCATTGAATCATGAAATTACCATTTTAATAAGGACAAGGTGATGGTAGTGGCACAGTGGTTGAGGCATTGGCCTCCCACATGGCTGACTGCAGTTTGAGTCCTGAAAAATCACTCCAGGCACATATGTATGCATGCCCAAAATCCAAAGAGGAGAATGGAAGAGAAGGGATTGAGGTGTGGCCATTCCTTCTGGGGGTGGGGGTGATTTCTCACTTTCCCTCTTACTGTTTCTCTCTCTCTCTCTTTCTCCTTCCCTCTCTCTCTCTCTCTCTCTGGAAAGCACGTGTGTCCTATGGCAAAAAAAAAAAAATTAATTAATTTAAAAACCTAAAAAAAGAATAAGGACAACTTTTTATTGATCTTGTTATTACCCACTTACTGCAAAACACAAAATAAATCATTGCAGACGTGGTTCGAAAATAGCAATACTCAGGGAACCAGCAGTTAGCGTAATGGCTATGTCGCTGGACTCCCACGTAGTAGACTGCGGTTCACATCCCGGACCCGGTGGCTTAGAACTCACGCCGGGCGCGTGTGCATGTGTGCCCAAGATCCCGAGAGGAGAATGGAGGAGAAGGGATTGTGGCATGACCATCCCCCCGGGGGGTGATTTCTCGCTTTCTGTCTCTAATGTCTCTCTCTGTCTGTCTGGTGAGCGCACGTGCCCTATAGTGAAAACCTCTCAAAAAAAAAAATTAGCAATACTCCTTTAAAAATAATAAAAGCTAAAATAAGACTATTTCGTATGTACAAGACAGTAAGTACTCGATACGTATTAGCTCATTTGCCCGTACTCCCATGTTCTGTCTTTATTTCAATACCCCCAAACAAAGCTGGAGATAGAAACAACCACACGATCATTTGAACAGAGAAAGTTTCATACAAAGAATGATTAAACTAGTAGTGAAGGCACTAGAAAGACGCAAAGAGAACTCTGAAGAGTACCCAGGGAAGGACAAATTTGGCAGGGGGCCGTTCCCCAAGCTGAGCATTGGACTTCACTGGGGACGATGTGGTGGCAGCCACAGGCTGGAAGAGATGTTCATGGGGTGCCTGGGCCAAAGCTGGTCCGTGGTAACCAGGCAGCAGGGCACAAGAATGCCAAAGCTGGTGGGCGGGTCCAGACGAGCAGGGTGTCCGGAGTCCACTTACTGGCTTGGTGGCCCATAGCTTGGGATGCACAGCACCCATGGCAGGAAGGCCATAGGAAACAATCTTCCAGGACAGAGGCCAGGTGAGGCTGGCGAGTGGCATCAGGGACGTCAGGACATTGGACGTGTGTTATGGACTGGTGTCT